TCCTCACACTCACACAGCCCTCATCTCACCTCACACACACCTCATTCCTAACACTCACCACACCCTACCCTCACACTCACCTCACACACACCCTCACCCTCACACAGTCACCCTCCACGTCTCACACTTCAACAACAAACCCTCACCCTCACACTCACACACACCCTCACCCTCACATGTCGAGCCACACCTCACCTCAACCACACACACTCACCCTCACACTCACACACCCTCACCTCACAACACACACACACCCTCGACCCACTCAAACACACCTCACCTCAATCACACACACCCTCACACCTCAGCAACTCACACAACCCTCACACTCACACTCAACACCCCACCTCACACCTCACACACTCCAACACACCCTCACCCACACCTCACCTCAACTCACCTCACCCACACCTCACCACACCCTCAACTCACCTCACACTCACACACACCCTCACCCTCACACTCACACACACCCTCACACTCACACACCCCTCCTCACACTCACACACCCCTCCCCTCACACTCACACACACCTCACCCTCACACTCACACACACCTCACCCTCACACTCACCTCACCCTCACTCACAACTCACCCTCTCACACTCACACACACACCTCACCCTCACACTCACACTCACACCTCTCACCCTCACACCTCACACACACACACCCTCACCACACACTCCACCTCACACTCACACCACTCACCACCTCACCACACCCTCACCCTCACACACACACCCTCACCCTCACACTCACACACACTCCTCACCCTCAACTCAACACACACCCTCACCCTCACACACTCACACACACACCCTCACCCTCACACTCACACACACCCTCACCCTCAACACCTAACACTCACACACACCTACCCTCAACTCACACACACCCTACACCTCACACTCACACACACCCCTCACCCTCACACTCACACACACCCTTCAACCCACCCTCACACTCACACTCACCTCACACACCCCTCACCCTCACTCACTACACACCCCACCCTCACACACACACACCCTCACCCTCACATCACACACACCCCACCCTCACACCTCACACACACCCTCAACCTCACACTCACACACACCCCACACTCAACACTCACACACCTTCACCTTCACACACTCACCCTCACACACACCAACCCTCACCTCACCACACACACAACACACCACACCCTCACACTCACACACACCTCACACTCACCACCTCAAACACCACACACACCTCACCCTCACTCACACACACCCTCACCCTCACCCTCACTCACACACACCCTCACCTCACACAACACCCTCACCTCACACTCCACACCTCACCTCACCACTCACCCTCACACACACACCTCACCTACACTCACACACACCTCACCTCTCAACTTCACACCACACCCTCAACTCACACCCACCCTCACACTCACACTCAACACGCCCAAACCTCACACTCACACTCCTCACCCTCACACTCACACACACCACTCATCACTCACACTCACACACACCCTCACCCTCACACTCACACACACCCTCACCCTCACACTCACACCACACCCTCACACTCACACACTCACACAGCACTCACTCACCTCACACACACTCAACCCTCACTCACACACCCCATCACCTCACAACACGCCCTCACTCCTCACACTCACCACACCCTACCTCACACTCACAACACTCACCCTCACACTCACACACACCCTCACCCTCACACTGTGTGCGTGTGTACAAGTATGTGTGTGCATGCATGTGTGCGTGTGCACAAGTATGTGTGTGCATGCGTGTGTGCGTGTGTACAAGTATGTGTGTGCACGCGTGTGTGCGTGTGTACAAGTATGTGTGCACGCATGTGTGCTATGTGTACACAAGTATGTGTGTGCGTGTGCTTGTGTACAAGCGTGTGCACGCGTGTGTGCTTGTGTACAAGTATGTGTGTGCACGCGTGTGTGCTTGTGTACAAGTATGTGTGTGCACGCGTGTGTGCTTGTGTATGTGTGTGCAGCGTGTGTGCTTGAGTACAAGTATGTGTGTGCACGCGTGTGTGCTTGTGTACAAGTATGTGTGTGCACGCGTGTGTGCTTGAGTACAAGTATGTGTGTGCACGCGTGTGTGCTTGAGTACAAGTAGTTGTGCACGCGTGTGTGCTTGAGTACAAGTATGTGTGTGCACGCGTGTGTGCAGTATGACGTACAAGTATGTGTGTGACGCGTGTGTGCTTGAGTACAAGTATGTGTGTGCAACGCGTGTGTGCTTGAGTAAAGTATGTGTGTGCACGCGTGTGTGCAGTACAAGTATGTGTGTGCACGCCTGTGTGCTTGTACAAGTATGTGTGTGCACGCGTGTGTGCTTGTGTAAAGTATGTGTGTGCACACAGTATGTGTGTGCATGTGCTGTGTACAAGTATGTGTGTGCACGCGTGTGTGCTTGTGTACAGTATGTGTGTGCACGTGTGTGTGCATGTATATGTGTGCACGCGTGTGTACA